AAAAAAATTTATTTTCATTTTTTTAACATATTATCATAATTACTAAAAAATTAAAAACAAAAATAATTTTAATATTATTAAATAAATTTATATTTAAAAAATTATTTTACAATTTGAACTATTTCAAATTATAAAACAATGACTCTTAAATAAGAAATGAAGTATCCTTAAATTAGATCTTTCCCCACATTTAAGAACTCTTATTTTATGGTACAAATTATAAAATAATGGATTCTATTTTTATTGTTAATATTAAAACTTATTTTAAACAAATTATTAAGTTTTAATTTTCAATAATTCCAACATTTATAGACCCAAACCTAAAAATAAATTAAACGGCTAAGTTATTTTTTCGAGGATGAGGTTGTATTTCTAAAAATAAAAACTTAATTATAAAGATGAAAGATTTCAAATCAAAATTTTAAGTAACACTTTTTTTTTTGTTAAACCTCCAATTTGATCCTTTAACTATTGTATGGACCTTTGACTTAGTTCTTGAACTAAAAAAATCCTTGATTTAGTCTATAAATTATTGTACGGACCTAATTTGATCTCTATTGTTTATTAACATACCTGTTACTTAACGATGAAAAACAATTATTTAATGATCATATATTACATTAATAACAAGATACGTTAGTTATTTTATATACGAAAAAATCAACTTAAGATAAATTGATAAACAATAAAGATCAAATCAAGATCCGTACAATAATTCAGAGATCAATTAGAGATTTTTTTTAGTTTATGGACCAAATCAAAAGACAATATAATATTTTAAAGTCCAACTTCTGGATTTAACCTTTTTTTTTTCAAAGTACTTTGACCAATATCAAGAATAGCACTTTATTTTAATCTCTAAATCAAAGCTTTTAAGAAGATGAACACTAAGTGAACAACTCGCTCTAGTTCAATGGTATGATCTTGGATTAAAATTGTTCACCTCCTATGGGTGATGTATTCAAACCCCACGAATCTCATTTTCTTGAACCCCACTTAACTAATATATGTAACTAATTTCAATCTAGTAAAAAATAAATAAATAAATAAATGGACCAAAATTTTATGGGTAAAATTCTAAGAATGCTTTATGCTTTTCTTGAAGAACTTAACCCAGATTGTTATTGCAAAATTTCTTAAGAGATACCATCCAATTTCTCACAACGTGTTACTACCCCAATGAATGTAATATTTTGATACAATCTAATACTATACAACATAAAAACATGAATATGTTCAACAAAAAAAAGAAAAAAAAAAGAATATATAAGCAACAACGTACAGCTGCAAAAACTCAATCCAAACCCCATCCAAGTCCATGCAATTGACTGTCAGACTGCTGAAAGGGCAGCCCACTTTCCAAGCTCAAAAGGCTCGGCATAGTAATACAACTTAACTCTGTTTGCTAAAGACAATCCTGCAACCACTGATCTAATGCCGGAATCATCCTGTTCTGATGGATCATCAGTAAAAGCAGCAACATCTCCAAGTAGTTTGAAGCTGATTCTGCGAGCTTGTATCTGTTTCGGGAAATCAAAGTACAAATGTGTTCCCGGCTTTGCCTCTGGCAATCTGTACTCTGCAATAGTCACCATGTTGTATCCCTCCTGTGACATTGTTGTTAAAATGAGTACCCATGAGAGATGGATTAATTTAATGGAATCTAACTCATTTCATTACAAGGGTAGATGCAAAACTAAGGCCATAAAAGTCAGTCACTAATATAGATATGGATGAAATGAAATCTTGACAACCACCCTTCTCTTCCATTCCTATCCACCTCCCCGTTTCTCATCGAAGTCCCAATCCAAAAATGGCTTCTAACCATTCATACTTCTATTTATGCTCTTTTCTATATATATATATATATTGGTAAATGATTGTGACATGATATATATTTTGGTAAATGGTAGTGGCTTGATATATACCTGGATTGCAGATACTTGTATATAGAGAATGGGTGGAGAGATATGTCTATATTCTAGAAATGTCATTGATGTGTCCCAGATATCTGCACCTGAAGGAGGTGAATGAGTAATTCGAGGTTTTATAGCAGTGAAGGCTTCTAGACGGAATCCAGCCAGTAATGGTGAAGCAGGAGGCAGATACTGTTCCAAGACAAGTTCATTATCTAATGGCCTTTCAGCCTCAATTGGAACCTAAGAGGGAAACATGGACACTTGAGGTTAATAAAGACAGGATATTAACTTCAAGAGCAAACTAAAATTATGTAACAAATAAGAGAAGCAGTAGTCACACCTTGAACCTATTTAACAGTAGAGGTAGCTCCAACTGGCTTCTAAATTTTAACTGATCATTGCTTTGTGTGGCTGTAAGATCCAACTCTTCTCTTACTGGGCTTCCAACTACCAATATGCGTTTTGCATGGAGACAAGGCTCATTTTCAACAGTTCCTCCAAAAGAGGCTCGTCTACTTACTTGTGCAAAAGGGTTTTCATCCAGAGACAAGAAATTAAAGTCTTTCCCAAAATTAACAGAGCTTGAACCAGGCCTCTGAAGGCGAAGTGTTATCCAAATGATGCGGCATCTAACAGGATTCCTGAAAGTAAATCTTATATGCCGCGGTATCTGATCCCTTCTAGCTGATTTTTCTGGTCCATAAAGCTCTGAGGAAGATGCAATGAGAGATTGGACATCCCATTTTCCCATGCATGACTTCCCTTCCCTTTCTATTTTATTGCTGGCCCATATTTGCACCTGTGTATCTTTAATGTATCAGAGAAAAAAGAAACTATCTTCGGTTGATACAGAAATCAATTGAAACAAATTATGCACAAAATGCATTTAAAAAGACAACTATTCTAATAACCATTCAGCCTATACAAGGCGCTAAACCAGTACCTACTTCCCTTTGTACAAGAAGAAATGTGTCAAGAATATTGGTGCACTTACAGTGGGAGCATCAGAATCAGAATAACCGCATGGGCTAACAAGCAAGATGACCCCACTAACATCTGAAAGAGTGCCAAGGACAATATCCAATTCAACTGTAGCAGTATTAGGAGGAGCTTTCCAATATGAGTGCTGTGATTCAGAATCCACTGGAACAAGCAGTGATAAGATTGGAGCTGAATCAGGTGCTGTTTCAACCTACAAGTTCATAATAATTGGTTAGATGCTAAAAGAAAATAAATATACAATTTAAACAATGTGATTCTCTATGAGTTAGGAAGCATAAACTCTTGTGGCATGCAGATTTGATGAATTTATGATCAGGCTTATATACATTCATCCTACTAAACTATCCTCGAATGAACTAACAATAAAGATGGCCAAACCCTTTATTTGCCCCCCAACGGTCAACACCCTTTAGAATTTTCACTTCCAATCAACACCATCCATAATTTGAAAGCTTGTAAAAAAACCAAAATTAATGACTAGCTTACATGCAAGTCAAGGTTCAAATAGGGGGTTTGGCTGTTAACTTTTGGGTTTTTACAGGTTTTAAATTCTGGAGGATGCTGACCAGGAGTGAAAATTTTGGAGGGTGTTGTATGCAGAAAACAATAATGTCCAAGGTGCAAATAGGGGATTTGGCCCAATATATTGTATCAGTGTATTCTAGAAAAGGGACCATCTAAATTTCTAGAAATGTTTTGATTGTTATAAGAGCTCATTTCTAGTTTTTCTGGGTGTTATATTGATAAAAAATGATATGATGACAAGCATATCAAGTTCTGAACCTTAAAATAAGCCAAGATATTACCGGGTATAAAAAGCTGGCAAATGGAAATTCAGCAAGTGATTCCTCCTCACCAATTAATTGTTTCAGAGCATTAGCATTTTGCTGACTACCAGAGGAATGATTTCTGTGAGAAAAATAGGAGGATCCTATAACCTGGTCCAAAGCTTTACGTGCTGCACTATCTGCACGTGCTCTTCTACGTAAGCTAATCAAAACCCTGACATAGTCTAAGATCAAGGCATTAAGAACGATCTTTTGGCAGCACTGTTTACAAACAACATTATAATTTGTAGCCTCCCTTGAACCACCCTGATCAGACAAACCATTATAATTTGTAGCCTCCCTTGAACCATAATTGGAAAGAAGAAGGGCACCTCTACCAGCACAACAAGTTTTACAAACCTTCCTCTCACACTTAGAACACAAAAAGATAGACTTTGTAGCTCCTGTAGCTGACACCTTGGACAAAGCAGTTGCAGATGCAGTTGCCTTGGTCTCAGCACGCACTTCACACATGCCACCAGAACAACTCTCCCCAATTCCAGTAACATTCCAGAAATCTAGTACACTATCATCAATATTCCCTAGGCCAATTGCACCATTAATCTTGTCTTCAAGTGCACCTTGCCCAAGTGATGCAAGGATGCTCGCAACTCTGAATAATCTCCCCATGTATGACTCATCAAGCAGAAAGTTTGGATTTATAGTAGCAGGATCAGTTCCAATCGACAACAAAGCTCTATCTCTTTCAGCTGCTGAAAGATTCAACTGAAGACGTTCAATTTCCAGTTTCATTGCTTCTATGAAGTTTAGTTTTTCCTGCAAAATTGGAACAAATCCTATGGGGTTAATTTCGTAGTTTATAAGGTTAACAATCAATGTATGAAACTTAATTGATCAATCTTAATCTTTCTGTAGTTCAATATACAGAGTCTTTTGTAACGTTATATATGTAAGTATACATGGTAAAAGGCTACCATGGTCATCGTAGTGGAGTAATCCCATCAAAAAAGAGGTAATAAACGATTTTAGCATTCAGAACCCTTAATCTGGATTAGATGTTCAAACGCAAGTGAACAGGAACTGGAATCCATAATGTGAGTTGGCTGCTATAATGGTAGTTGGCCGCTTGGCAAGGATAAAAGGATAAGGAAAATGGTTTATCATCTTTTACTTCATTGTTATGTTACTAGATGATATAATGTATGATTTCGTTAGCATTCTTAGCATTTTTAGTTTGATTTCCTTTCTTTTTCTTTCGTTTTGTGTATTATTGAGCTACATGTGGCATTGTCTAAGAGCTTTTGTGGATATAGCAGATGATCTAGAGGAAGAGATCAAAGATATTGTTGTGAAGGGAATGATTCCAGTATGTCTGTGACAGAGTTTATGGAAGGATATTTTACAGCTTTTGATGGGACAGAAGACATAGAGCTTTGGACAGGGCCACATTTTTGACCCACCAGGAAATTAAATTATTTTTGTTATTTATCATTCAATTACTAATAAGTAATAACCCAACCCTTAAAAGTCTAACTATTGAACCAATTAAATATTAATAGATCTCTAATTGGTTGGATGATAGGTTCCACTCTGATAACTGTGCAAATATTTAATTAGCATGCTTTTTAAGGGTCATCACATATGTATTTAACATGGCATATGATTTTAATTAACCAGCTGCATCTATGAACTACTCTGGAAGGCAGCAAAAGCAGAACAAACAATGCAGAACTACACTGGAGAAAATAACTACTTGGCATGCATTTTTTATGGATGAAGAGAAGAACATATTAATTTAAAAAATACAAAAGAAATGGGCACTAACATACCTTATATGGTCCCACAAGCGACTTTAGAATATTAATGTATTGCTGAGCACTGCTATCCTGAGGCCCTGCATCTAGCGATTTAGAGTTAGCTGTTTCAGGATAATGACATTCAACAACAGCTTGATCAAGGAAATCAAGCAAGTCCCCTCCCTCACAAGTGACATTTTCAGACATTGGCTGAGAAACAGAGCAAGAAATGTCCTCTCCCGTCAATAGGTCAACCAAATTGTTAGAAGAGCCTTCAGCGGACTTAGAGAGAGTATCATTGGGTAAAGAAGAGCCTGAAAAAGGGCTTGTGTCAGAACTAGTAAACAGAGAGCCATTTTCTTTTGGAAATACCTTTGCCAGCTCATTCAATCTGCCACCAGGACCCTTATTGGTAAATACTCCAGTCCATTGAAGAGAAACTCCAAGGATCTCTACCTGTGATGAAATTTACTACAGATTAGATATTATCCAGCAGCATCAAAGTAAACCCTAGCAAGCAAAATAAAGAAAACAGGTATAATCAAACAACATAAGAAGAGCAGTAAACCTTGTAGAGAACAGCACAACACATGAGAAAGGTCTTAAATCTAATTCACTTATAAAATCAAAAGAGACTTCCACCCCCCCCCCCCCCCCCAACTCCATTTATTGAATCTTTGAAACATCTAATTACTAAAAATACATTAAATTCAATAGTTTATTGATTGAGCAATTCATGCATGTGCATATGGAAACCAAAGACAGCCCTTGCTGCTAAGTCAAGACTGATGGACAAGTGATGCACCAAGTATTTCTGGAAATTGCTTTCTACCTCACCGAGAGTCATGAGATGACTTCCAGAACCAGCAGGATAAAATGTAAGTGCCACAACACGGGTTAGGAAGTCCAATTCTCCCTCCAATTCTTCAAAATCATACAACATGGTAGTAGTAGATGTAACTTGATCCTGAAGGCGAGCACCAGCTCCAGTAATTGCCATATCCTCTGCACTAATTGGACCTGGTAATGGTATTGAAAGATTGGTCCCATTTGCACACCGAGGTATGGAAGCACCCTGTGGATAAAGCCCAAAATAGGATCAGAATCAAGGTAATTTGACTCCTATATGTAAAATGTTATAAACAACCTTATGGGGACAGGATGGGGTAACCACCCAGGAGAATAGACTAAAGAACTAGTTCTGTACCATCAATGGCACCAAAACAGTGAGGATGGAATAGTTATGATACTTTATTAAGAACAAAATCTTACTTTCATGAATATTAAGAGCAAACTCTTTTATCTTTATCTTCTGCATAGAGTCAAGTGAGAATCTTATGGTCACTTTTCTAAGCATGTACGATGCCTAAATTAAGGAATGATGGTTAAAAAAAAGGACAAGACAATAACAACTGAACGTCAAACCTGTTGGTGTTGTGCATTGCTTGCTGGTCAATGTACACAAATTAATAGATAATTACAAGGTTGACATGTTAAGCTGTGAGAATATGAGGCCAAATGTTGCTGGAAATTTCTAGGGAGAAGGATGAAAATAAAGCATACTTTTATGATGGAAAGGTTTGAAAACAGAGTTTAATGTCAGACCTCCTGGTGTAGGGCATGAGGTTGTTTCAGAGGATATGGAAAGGTTTATGGTGGATAAAGTCCCAAAAAGATTATGAGGTTGATACATTCTTAGAGTAACAGGATGCAAAATTAAATTGCAAATGAGGAACATGTTTGAACAATTACAGGTGCAAGATGATATAAAAGACCTTTACAGACCTCTACAACCAGTTTAAGCCCATCCACATAGCGTCCTGCTCTGACATCAACCGTTGATGGATAAGTTGAATCATCTGCACCATGTGATACTGTGAGTAGCAACTGACAGACATGACAAGGCTCACTGAGATAAATAAAAAGTTCAACCACATCTGCCTGCGGGCAAACCTGTGAGACATAAAAAGCAAATATTCCAAAAGAAAAGGATTAAAAAAATAAAAGATAAAAAGGACTGGTAAACAAAAAACATCTGCTCATAATAGTATACAAAAGATATTGAACCATAAACCGTCTAATATTAGCAATATGATTTCCCCTAGTATGGAAAGATAATTTTCTACGTACCCAAGTTAGGTCTTTTCTCTTGAAACTTAGAAGACTGGCTCCCCCATCTGGACTTGGATACATGTTTGCAACAGGCTTCAGAAAGAAACCTGATGGTCTGGAAAGGACCTGCAACAATTAATATGATATTTAATGATACATTGATGCATCTAGATTATGAAATTAACAAATATTTGATCAATAAGTCTAAACAATCAACGTATAATAATCTAACACCACATAGCAGAAAAAAAAAAGGAAAAGGAAATTAGTTGTCAGTGGGCAACGATATCAAGCATTAAGCAATTAAGAAAGGAGAAAAATGCAAAAACTTTTATGCATAAGAAAGTATTGAGACTAAATCCAGATAACCATGCATCAATTATCCCGTTATTATACCAGTGCCTAATTAATTGGAGGTTCATACACACACATATGCAGCAGTAAGCTTTGGAGATTCAGTATGAAGAAAGTATTAAATTCAATAATAAATATGAGTAAAGACAGCATATAGAAGACAAAGATAACATTACAGATCAACTATATTTGGATTTCACTGTGGTCAGATATTGATGTGGGAAAACACCTAGAAAGTACATAAAGTTGCTGCAAGTGCATAAAGCCATAAAACTAGCATAAGCATATATAAAGGAATTGAAAACCATTGTAGATGGCAGATAAAAGATAAAATAAATTATCTACTATAATAACATACATTTAAAGGTTGAACTGAAATTGATGGTAGATGCTTGAAAAGCCTCATGCCAAGGAACATTTCCAACTGCTTTTGGCGAGAACTATCAGAAAATGTATTTTTATATCTCCTTTGAAGGGTGATTTTTACATTTTGTGCTGCAGAGAACTGTTTGAATTTTCCAGCATCTTCATTGAATATACTAAGAATTTGGCTGTGCATGGCTTTGGAACCAGTGTAAAGTGTAGCATGGATATCACCAGCAATCAGAAAAAGATCTGCTAGCTGAGATACTGGAGATAGAATTGTTGAGTTCTTGAAGACCTCAAATGTCATGTCAAATCTCTTCCATGGTTTATCTGGACATGGATGATCCCATGTTGTGGTCCTAGTATTGTGATCAACATAATATGTTTTCCCTGTTACTGCATCAGATCGTTTCTCCCAGCCAGGTGGAAGTGGAGCTATATAGCCTCCATGATAATCAACAGACTGGTAACCACATGCCAGATCACTATCAAGTGATATCCCTAGCCGTCTGCACTGCTCAACAAAAACTTGGAGGGCACCAAAGTAGCTTGCAGCATTTGTTCGATCCAAAGAATCGGCACAATTAAAACGTATTACACCATGTTGATGTGATCTTAAGCAGAAGGCACCATTGCAGTCATTGCTGTAGATGATTTCACCTCTGCAATCCTTAAGCCGTTGTCGCGAGGGCAAATAATCCCCTTCGGAAATGCCTACAGTTAATGTCGGTCCTTTTAGAAGTTTCCATAATCCTTCAATTGTTAGCAATTCACCTTTCAATTTTATGTTGGCATGCCAGTCATAATTAATCACATGAATTCGAGTATGAGGAAGTTTCCCAGTTGAACGAATATAATTCAAAGATTCCCCAAAATGCTGAACTAAAATGCATTCAGATTTCCCATTTTCATTTCTTAGCAAGTTGATGCATATGATTGGAACAAAAGCCCTTTTCTTCTGATTTTCCCCAATAGAAACATCAAAATTACGAGCATCATATCGCTCACTCAGTCTTTGATAGTACTGCATGCTACCCTTGTATGGATCCCTGTCTGCAACATATATTTCAGCTTCTGCAGCAGTCATCTTCAGCTCTGCACCCCACCAGATTGGTATTGTGCCCCGTCGCCAAATGTATGTGTTGAAAGGAATGGTCTGACCAGCCCCTTTAGGAATCCATACAAGTTGCTCACACTCTGCTTCATTCCCTATCACATGCAATTATTTTTTTCACGTAACAGTAATTTTCAAACCATAACAGAGAAGTAGAAAGGTTGAGAAAAGACACGCAATAAATGTACAAGTAGTTATACAAAATAAACAGAGGACACAAAAACTTCAAAGAAGAAAAACAAAATTACTTGTAAAATGCTAAGCGACATATTCGAGGCATGAATTCATTGAAAAAATATATATATAAATGCAGTTATGATGCAGCCTATCTTAGAACATATTAACAGCTTATCTTACCAGTGCTAAAACATGAATTTAAACCCCTGGCCAAGTACCGAGTACCAGGATGCAGCCTACTTCGACGAGCTGTGAGAGCAAGCATTCCTTCTATCTGGCCTGAACTGCCAAAACTCCGACATTCTGCAAACCCCTATACATATTAATGTAAAGTGAGAAAGCAGTATCAAATGGTTACCTATATCTTAACTGCTTTCAAATGGTAAAGTAAGATAAACCACAGTGAGTATGTTAGATAATATAATCAAAGGCAAACTGGACATGGAAAGTACAGAAAATGTGGACAACAATGTGGAGCCATAAAAACAGTAAGAATGACTAAAGATGAGAAAGACATCTAAACAAGATAAACACATTCATAAAGTTACAACTTTTAGCAAAGGCTAGAGGTAACAGGAGCAAAGACCGGAAAACTAATCATTCAATCTAAAGATAACAGGACAAAACATACATGAAATCTAGTCTCAGATCTGTAATACATAGATTATCCAAGTATAAGCAAACCCTCAGGTAAATGCAGTTTCAATGATTAAAACTCTTGAATCATTGGTCTCAAAACTGGAATATTGTCAAACTGGTAAACCAATGAAATTAGTTTATGTAAACTTCATCATGGTGTTGCAAACTAAGGTGTTTGGCAAAACTTAAAAAGCACTATTCATCGTCTCTCACAAATTTGAAATTTTGTTAGAGGAAAATTCAAAAATTGTCATTTAAAGTGGGTTTTAAGCAAGTTTTGAAAAAGCTTGGATATACAGCTTTTTCAAAATTTGCTTAAAACCCACTTAAAAAGCTAATTTTGTCATTTCCCTCCAATAAAATTTTAAACTTGTGAGAGATGAATAGTGCTTTTTAAGCTTTGCCAAACACCCCCAAAAATCCAATTCATGTTATTATCTTATATGATCTTCTATCAAACTATTTTCTGTTCCTTATCATGCATATGTATACCCACACACGCACATGACTTTATATAAAAAGAGAGTTCATAACTAAATAGCAAAGGAGTGTCAGGAACAAAGCAGAGCATCTTGCAACAGGATATTTAGAAGGATATTAAATGAACAAGGAAACAACCAAAAGAGCATAAACATGAAGATACCAAGAATGAAGCAAAACCTGCAGAAGAATGACACAGTGCTGTGGCAGCCCAATGTTTTTAAAAGGCATTGAAAGAAATCCATTCCAAACAAATTCATCATCAGGCTTGTCCAAGGGCATATGACTTGGAAAAGGTCGAGTAATGTCTCTTGTCTCACAAAAATAGTGTTTTCCATCAATGTCAAGCTCAGTCAACTCTTGAACATTTTTCACTTCTCCCTTCCCCTGGGGTTGAGGATTTTGAAGTGTTACTTTGATCCACTGGCTCTCCATAACAGTATAAACACACCCTCCACCAGGCAGATTACGGATACTGGCAGATAACTTTGTTGCAACAAGAAGCAAGCCAAACCCTCCCAGGACAGCATAGCCCAATATTGCCCTGGCATGTATTTTACTCTTACAGCGCCACGGTGACCCATTAGTAACATAATCTAAAGCATCATTTTCATACATAAAAACATCTGAACCAAACTTCCCATGATGGCAAAGCAACCCAGTTGTTGGATCAATGTAAATCACCTGAGTGTCAGCCCTTGTGGACAAACTCACAACAATATATATTTCACCCTTTTCCAGTGTAACAATAACCACAGATGTGTTTCTTGAACCACCAACTGCGAATAAACCATCCACAATCAGTCACACATAAAACCAGACTCAAGTAGACACAGACCCAATTAACCAAAAAGAGCCATTAGCAAATGTCACCTGGTGATTCCATGCCCTCCAACTAAAAAGTTCTTCAAATACCCAATGCCTATGATCCCCCGAGGGAGATAATCAATGATCTGATCAATGTTAAAGCAAATGAAATAGTCAAAATTCTCCCTTTTACCATATTTCTATGACAAACTATAGATTTAACCAGCAAATTGCTGAAAAATATATAAAAAGCCTCAGTTAAATTACTCAAATCTAAAGATAAATAAGAGTTAGCCAAATAATCAAATCAAGATCCGTAATTGTCATCAAAATCTCACTTTATCATTCATTAGCAGGTACTTTTACCATTCTTGAGATCTGAAGAAAAACGAAGCAAATCAAGGAAAACCATTAACGTGCTCATAACAAGCTTAGATCAGCTAAACTCTAATTTCACCAATCAAAGATGTTTCTAATTCCATACAAAATAAACATCAAGGAAAGCAACCAAAAAAAAAAAAAGAAGCGAACAAAGAAATCCGGCAAGAACATGGATAATACGTAATTTAAAACGGAGAGAAGTAAATGCACTGACCGGAATGTCGGAACATGAGAGAGAAATGGAGAGAATCAGAATGCCAGGGAGTGGAGGAGCACGTTAATTGAGAGCAAAATTATAGAAGACTCAACAGAACTGGCGAAGACGAAGGGATAGAGATCACCTACGGTTGCGTGCAGAACTGCTATCCAATCAAATAGAGCCATCTCGACATGGGGACGAAATGAGAATTTGGAAAAGAATGGGGTGAATTCAAAATAGACAAAAACTACAGGGGTAAGACAAGAAAGGGACATCAAATCCAAAGTAACCAAACGAGAGGCGAAGAGGAGCTAGACGGATGAAGCTAACGGCTTCAACAGGCCACACGATTCTCCAGTCTCCACCATCACATATATCTTAGGCATTTCTTTTTCTTGGATACAGTCACCCTTCTGCACGTAAACCAAGATTCTTTATCCAGTTTCTGTAAGGGTAAGAGATGGGTTCGTGCTTATTTTATTATGTTCAGCTTGATGGTCTTTGGTCTAGTCAAATTCATTTCAGTAAATTTAGTTTTTGTTTTCTGGGTCGTCTTATTCTATAAAGTCTGTCTTTTTGACTAATGGGTGTTTTTTTAACATGGAGATTGAGACTTTTTTTGTTGAATTCCTGTGGATTTTTAGCCAAGATGAGAGTTTGGTGAATTTTTGAAGTTGGTTTTTGGATCACTTGAACAATGTTCTCTGTCTGCTCTGCAACTTCAAGCTGTTCCTCACATTCACAGGTGAGATCAGTCTCTCAGGCTAAGGAACTTACCGAGATTTCACATTCTCTGGCCATGTGGCATACTGTTTTTTTTCCCCCCTGGAGATAGTAATTTTAATGTTCAAAATTTTGAATATTTTGAGTTTGTAATATAGAGTAGCATTCTAGGGCTTATCATTTGATTGGTTCTTCTTCCATAATATTAGTAGGCATGCATTCTTTTCTGTAACAGACGTTTTTCCTGATTCTTTTAATTGACATGTGTTTAAAATGGTATCTTTTTCTTTGCTGTCTATGCGAAGCAGTTCATTCATGTGTTTGGAATTATTGCTGCTGCAGGTTCCATTCCATGGAGGGCTGCGACAACGCACGCCATTGTGGAAGGATTTCCAGTCCAGATGCACATTGGAGGACAAGTCAGTCTTGAACTTGTCAAATGGAACTCATCTCCAAAATATTTCCTTCAAACCAAAGGCTATAAAGTCTTTCTACTGCAATGTTGATGGCAGTACTGATCAATCGTTATCTGTTGATCTCATAAAAGGTCATTCATGCCAAAACAAATTAGACAATGTTGAATGCAACTTCTCTACTGGATGGAGTTCTCTAGTTGAAGCAATAAATGAACCAAGTATTGTACAAAATGGGAAACTTAAATATGTAGATTCTACCTCTATTTCTATGGAAGAGGAATTTGTGGATCTCACTAATCAGTCAGCTGAAAGTTCCAATAATTCCATCCAAGCATTTCAACCTGAAACTGTCTCACCTGTTGATATAACATCTGAGAATCCTACTTCAATATCTGGCTCCCTGAAGATTGGTGATGATATGTTATCTGGTGCGAAATCTAGTCTTGCTGATTTTCTTGCTGGTGTTAATGAGTCTTTCAATTCTTCTGTAAATAAGGGAGAGGATGCTGTGAAAAGCTCACTTGATAAAGTTACTTCATCTCTAACTTCCATCACTGAAAGTGCTTCTGAAGCAATAGATAATGCTTTTAGTAGAGTGTTTTCAGCTGTTGATCAAACAGGGGAATTAACTGGCAATAAGTTTTCTAGCTTGTCAAATGACTTGAAGGAAGTGTCCAGTAAAGCAACAACTATTGCTCTTGACTTGATAAGACATACAGTGGTTGTAGTGGAAGATTCCTTGTCAGATGGAGCTTCTAATTTGGTGTATTATTATGCATCTGCCAAGGATCGTCTTCCTCCAGAGATCAAGGATGGACTTAATTTGTTTGAAGACAGAGCAATAAAAGTCTTGGAGCCAGTCAGAGCAGCTTTTGAAAAGGTATCCTTATATTAGGCATGCATGCTAATCCACCGAATTTTGTTTTTGGAAAATCCACTTCTGTATTTTTATTATGAGATATGGATGAATGGCACGAATATGAGTTAGGCATGCTAAACAATAAAAACACTGATGTCGGATAGTTCAACTTTCTAACTTTCAACTTTTATGGTTCACCAACTGATATTAATCTCATGTTTTTAGACTGCATCTCTTGAATTATGTTAATTTTGTTTGAATTTCAATATGATCTTAGTAGGGTTACATTGCTATTGAGGGTCTGGAAAGAAACCTTGGCTTGGATCCAAATGATCCAATCATCCCATTCACCCTTTTCCTTGGCACCTCAACCACTTTATGGTATGGATATTCTTTTGTGTGCTTGTGTGTTTAATTCCATACATGTAGATATAGATTTGTCATTCCGTGGGGAGTTTATATTTGTTATCAGATATGTGCAGGTTGTTTTACTGGCTGTGGAGGTATGGTGGCTACTCTGGTGACTTGTCTCCTAAACTAACTTTGGAGCTCTTGTCTGGAAATGAGAAAGCTGTTCTTATTGATGTCCGGCCTGAGGCAAGAGACTGTAAATTTTTCTGGCCTTAAATATATAATTTACATTCATGTTTAGAGATTATTATGGATGGTTCATTTATAATTTCAAAGTTATTTTTTTCATATTCTTTTAAATTTCAAAGTTATTTACACTCTTCATTGTTGGGCATTAAAATTGTGAAGGTTTTTAGAGAAAGAGACGGTATTCCTGACCTTAGAAGGGCAACTCGTTTTCGTTATGCCAGTGTAACTTTTCCTGAGGTGGGTTTAAATACTTTGATCTGACTTGGAATACAAAGATTCTATTTCTTTGCTTGGCTTTTGGTTCTTAAATAGTAATTGGAAGCTACTTACTTTTTACTGAAGCTATAGGTTTCCCTGTCAAAAAGAAAAATCTCTATAGGAAAAGAAGTTTTATGTTTCATGGTCTTCATTTAATCAGGTTAATGGCACAGTACGGAAGCTGTTGAAGGGTGGGAGAGACCTTGATGACACTTTGGTTGCTGCTGTTATCAGGAACTTGAAGACTGTTCATGTACAAAACTAACTGCTATCCAAGGGCCCCACTCTACATATCAAGTTATCTGTTTTTGCACATCTATTTCTGAATATTGTTTTTCTGTCACTTGTAGGACAGGTCCAGGGTCATAGTCATGGATGCTGATGGTAATCGTTCCAAAGGTGTTGCAAGATCATTGAGAAAACTTGGGGTTAAGGCAAGTTTTCTTAATTTCCATTTTTTTGGGTTAAAATTTAGAAAATAGTGTACAATTAGATTAATGTGAAGTTAAGAGAAAAAAAAAAAAAAGAATTATATTAGCCTGAAATTCATTTATCCTTGTTGTCTTCAGTTTTTTGACAATCATATTGGAATTCCACCATTGAGAACCAAAATGCAGCAGAAACAATTATGCATGTAGGATTTGGAGTTATCAAAGTCTAAGAATATTGGTAGGTCTAGTGCTGCAAAAGATCACATTAAGGGAAGTTTATCATTAAGGGAAGTTTATCATTAATGTCATAGGCTTTGTCTTTTGGAGGGAACCATGTCCTAGGCTTTGTCAAGGGTCCCTTTTGGATGTAAATTTTATGCAGGTCACAGTGATATCTATTGATGTACTTCATCTAGCTAGAGTAGATCTGGAACAAGACAGAGTACCACCATTACAGCTTGTTCCATAACTTTGAAAACCTGGGAAGGAATCTAAATTAATGTACTAGGACATTGAGTTTATAACACCATGGCCGCTGAGGAATCTTTTGCTTAGAGTGACAATGACTCTTCGTTGCTTCAGAGATGACTTTAGCTGTTGTTGTGCCATAAGCTGATTGCATAAATGGGTGGTTTTCTACCTTACCTGCCTTTCCTGCTTTTAAATTTACATTTTAGCAGTCATTTGTCATGACTGCTTAATGCTTATAAGCTTGCTAGAACAAGAAATATTGAATTTTCTCACTGCTAACTAAGTTTATCTGGAAATCAGATTCACAGAAGGTTTGCATATTCTAATTATCGTTAATATTCTTCACTGCAGAGACCATACATGGTCCAAGGAGGCTTTCGATCTTGGATGAAACAGGGTCTTCGAATTAAGGAGCTCAAACCTGAGACAGCACTTACCATACTCAATGAGGTATTTCTTATATCGGTGGTGATTGAACTGTCCTGCAATCTCTTGTCTATAATTTTTGAAAGATATCACCCCATATGTCTAATTAAACATCAAAAGGAAAAAAATTTGGTTCTTAGGAACATTGAGATGCCCTATGCAATTTGTTGTGCTTGTTGTCTATATCCTATTGGTTGTATGCAAGTGTAAAGTTCTAGATCAAAAGGTTCAAAAGCTATGGTAAAGATATTGTTTTTTATTGAAAAAGAAAAATTTTGTTATCAAACTGGACCCAAAAATTTTGTTATTGAAATGGACCCTCCTTGTTCTAATTTAGGACTTCCATCATTTTTGGGCTCAACACAATCCAAGCTAAAACCAATTGGTTTATACACTTTAAAACCATGTGAAAATTGTGCATATGGGCTCAACACAAGGCTTGCATCCAACCTAAAACCAATTGGCAATAAGTGGAGTAGCCTTCCTTGTATTTAAACCACAAGCTTCTTCATTATACAGTCGATATGGGATTTTCCCACTCAACATGCCCCCTCACGTGCAGGCTTGCTATGAATGTCAGATCCTGTCATGTGGCTTAATAGGAATGTATCATCTCCTCATAACACAAATACATATTGACTTTCTTCCAGCCTTCTTACCTTTCTCATCATGGAACTCTTTCTTTTTAAAAAAAATTATTTGCTTTATGTACTAATACAAACTTGATGTAACGTTAGGATGCTGAGGCAATCCTAGAAGATGTCAATCCTTCTCCAGTGCAGCTCCTTGGGTATGGTTTGGTAAGACTCCTGCTGCTTTTGTGTATCAGGATTACTGATTCCTTCTTTATTCTAATTTATTATCCTAATAAGATGAGTTGGTCAAATGTTATCATTCATTGTGTAGTGCCACTAACAAGTGCATTTTTTATGAACAGGGTTTAGTAGCAGCATTGTATGTGCTACTAGGTGTGTATTTTTCACCTTATATGAACAGATTTTCATTTTTATGCACTCCTAGTATCATATTTCGCATAGCGTGCTTATTTTAGCAAATGATTATTTTGTTTTAGACATTTATTCTTGAACTTGACCTTGAGTTGTATCAGAGGAAAGTCAAGTCTAGATGGTTATCTAACATATCTTATTTTGAAATCATTTACCAAGCAATTCTTTTTGCTTTTGTGCTTCTTCCTGAGGGGTAACCAATCACCATTTTCATTTTCCTTCCCTCTTGATTTCAGAGTGGGAGAAAACACTACAGTTTATTGGTGTTATTGGCCTCGGCCAGGTATGCATTCTCTTCTCTGCTTCAAGAGTTAAGTTCCAGGTCTTTGATCTTATGCATTTACCAATTCCTATGTTCATTAAACCCGAAACTAAATTCTATGATTTGGGAACTTTGCATGTTGCACATTTAATATTTGCATGAGGACTGTAATGCTGAATTCTCTGATCTTATAATTTGTGGGATAACATATCTAGCTAGATGACATGGCCATTATTTTTTGATTCCACTCATCCCATGATTCATGATTCCTTGTTTTCTGGTTACTCTACCAGACTATTTATCGACGGGTTGCTTCATATAATGATGCTGATGATTTTAAGAAAGACGTGAGGTAAGCCTACTTATCGACTCTCTGTAACCTCTCTTTTTTGACTAATATCCGGATTATGTTCAAATGCATATTTGGATATCCATTAATTGTTACATTTTTGGCATCTCCTGAAGGTTGTTGCTGACTCCCGTCAAAGCTGGAGGTCAGGCATTTTCATGGGCTGCTGGAAAATTAGAAAGCAATCGCATTGCACTGCCAACATCACCCTCATCCTCAGATGTGCAGAACCGAGTGGTGCAGGCCGCTGCAAAGCATGAATCTCAGCCATCTGAGACAGAAGGAATCCAAGGCCCTGAATCAGTGGCTCCGGTGACTGAGAATGTAGATCTCTCCGAAGCCTAAACTTCAAACATGAAACAACTAGAGCAATTTTTCTTTCTAAATGTGAATGTAAGTAAGAAATTTAACGTACAAACTAATTTGCTCAAAACATAGAACGGATTTTGAAGATCTCTGTTATTGGGGTTTTGTGCTAATAATAAAACCTGGCAATCATCATTCAATCCAATTAAAAGCAGGTAAATATACAACTCAGTTTATTCAGTAGCATGGCCTTGTTCAAAACCCTGTAAATCATTTCTCATTTTCACAAGCAATATGTACATGCAAGATCTATGAATAATTTTGACTCTATACCAATATCAGGGAAAGGGGATCTTCATCATAATATACAACTCTCATTCTTTCACTGCAATTACCACAAAGACATCTTTCAATGACCATCTCCTCCTCTCACTCTTGGCTGGTGGATTGATGATGGCCCTTTCAGCATCAGCCAAGCGGTAACCTATAACAATCTCTCTCCTCTGCCGAGCTCGTAATAGTATCTCATAGAAACTCAATTCCTCACCTTTATCAAGGTAAAGATCTGCTTGCCTGATTTGCAACTCATTTCCCTGGTAAAGTCAGATCATTCTTAAACGATTATTATAATGATCACAAGTAGCAGAAATAGAACAAGAACTCAAGCATTAAAACTGTAGCCATATGCTCATTCTTGTTTTTTCATTGCAATTATCAAAATTTCATGAAAACCCATAAGTACCTCCTCTGCAAAGAGCTCTTCCAGAACATCATTTATTTGCCGATCCTCTGCAACCATGGCCAGTGCCATGCTGACAAGCTCGTTTGACAAAACATAATCACTAATCTTTGACATGGCTAATAAATTTTTAGTCCTTGGATCCAGAATCTCACTGATTATTACTGACTTATCTGAAGCTTCCTGCATGTCCCCAATCCAAGAGCCTTGTGAAAGACTTCCTCTATGGCCTGTGGTTACCATAGCATCCCCATAAGGGAGACGCTTTGCCTGCAAAAGTTGTGCTTCCTATTATTTCTTATATTTTTAAGCCAATAACAATATCACAGAACTGGTGCTCAATGACAAAAGCTAAATATTACATTAGAAAAGTTGAAGTGCTAAATTGATATTTATGAGTTGAAATCTCATAACTTTGTTAATTGCAGTAAGGTCTTGGGAGAAGATGATATGGTAAAGAAGGTGAATAATGCATCCAACTAAAATCAATTAAAAATCGAGTTAAAAACACCTGAATATCACGGATCAAAAGTAATGTTGCAAGAGATCTGGAATCAGCTTGAATGGCTGAATCTTCCACTGACTCATCGGCCAAAATTAAGATCTGCAGGGGCCAGATAAACATCAAAATTTTTATCTTGAAAAAAGGGGACTATTATTCATCAGAATTGTATAGCCTGGCAGCTTATCCTTCCCTCTCTAAAAATTATTGAACAAAGACATATCAATCCATGACTAACACATAAATTAAGACGGTAAAGCAAGTAATGTTGTTCTAAAACTTATCCCTCAGACGGTAAAATTTGGTGAGTAATTTTTCTACAGGGACCTTCTTATCGGCTCTCACAAATATTTACCTTTAATACATGCCCAGGAGTATAATTTTGTGAGGATTTCTAGTGATCAGTGTATGTTACATGGAAGTGCATAGGTTCAAATCCTGGAGGCAGCCACTCTATTAAAATTGCTGAAGTCTAGAATCACTTGCTAATCATTCATCCAAAGACCAAAATTTGGGAAGACTGAAATTTCATTTGCACCCAATCATTTTAAATGGATCTGTAATGACCATGACCTGATAATACCTGCTGTATATTGCTATCATGATAGCCCATGTGTAAAGCTACTTACTGAATCAAAACATTCCAAAGGAAGGCTTTCTAAGTGACGCCGTATAACTGCATTTCCTTCACGATGAACTAGTGTTATATTCGCCAATCTGTTGAAGTCCAGACCACCGTCAAGAAGCTTCTTTTCCCTTTCATTTTCAAGAACTTCATTGAACATCCAGAGCTCTGAACCAGGTGCTAGAAAGGCATCCAAAACCTAAACAAACAAAAAAGAGAAATCACTGCCAATATTGTTTTCAATGTGAATAAACAAATTTAGTAGGAGAAACTTTTGGAAAGTGGGAAGACTTGTTGCAGGTTGCTACGAAGAGCAGATCTAAGAATGATGGCGAAAATAATTTCTGTGACATCTATGGCTACTTTTTTAACACTGGAAACAGCTCCCAATAAGTACTTGGGAGCCTCATCATAATTTCTTGTAATACTACCATAATCATATCTTCTATATCACGTCGCCAACCACAAAGAAGTATCCTTTCTGTAGACTTTGGAACAATGAAGTCCTTGGGTAAATTTCCCCTCCATACCTGCATCAATTAGGAGAAGAGAAAAAGGAATTAGGGGCTTCAATAGAAAGAACTTACCACAATCATATCATCAATGTCTCTCCTCCATCCACAAAGTAGTATCTTCTGGGGCTTTCTTGCTAGTCGAACACTGCGTATGAAAGATGCTTCTTTGACCTGAATGTCAAATTGATTATACTAAAGTAAGTTCTTTTAGTTAAGGTATGCCCCACTTCTTAAATTCTGCCAAGGTATCATCCCACTGTGACAAACTGGAACTCCTCCTTCACCATGAATAACCAGTCTAAATGCAACATGATCACCTGATTCCTAATTTGTTTTAATCAGTTTGCTTACATTGTTGGATACCTGCCTATAAAATTAAGCTCTCTATTTCTAGCCAGATTGTGTGACCTTTTTCTTTTTCCAGTCATACACATATATTCATTTCTATCTTAATCTTTTCACTTGGTTAAACCCCTTTTTCATCAAAATATGCTTGAATGCAACCTGACCTTTTCTTATGGCCTGAAATGCAGCCTGACTTGAATAAGGCAAATATCTAGCATGATTGGCCCCATAGAAGCACAGCAAAGATAGGAAAAGGGAGAAAGAAAAACAAGTAAATTAATTTTATTTCAGAAAAAGGAAAGTGGAAGCACCAGAGGCAATGCTGCTGGAGCATAGGAATCATCATCTTCTGCTATAACGAGAACCTCATCCCCTTCTTGTAGAACATAAGAGTCATGAGGATTTAGGATAATTTTACCACCACGGGATGATGCAACCTTGATTCCACAAGGTACAGCGTCAGGGAAACTAATTAACACATCCTCAAATAACATGTTATCCAATTGTGGCCATCTTTTGATGTAGAATTCACAATTTTCAAATCCAAGGATATCTTCCCAGATCTGTCATAAACCCTCCAAATGATCAAAGATATAACTGATAACAAAAATGTGAAGGGGTTTGATCTCAATATTATGGTGGTCAAAAAGTAGAAAATAGTCTATATATATCAAAAGGAAAATCAACATGTTACAACGATATCTACCTGTGCTAGTCCTGGCTGTCGTGCGCATTGGATCATTAAACGCCCAATAACATCATGAGCAACAACGGTTTCAACAAGATCAACTCCAACAAGTTTGACAAGTACCTCGTTGTCCAGATCACTTAGTTCCACCACAATGTGGCCTCTTAGCCCTTCTTTTACTCCTGTTAGACTTAGGACCGTTCTCAAAGCACGAGCATCACTCTGTATCCAAGGGTGAACAACTAAAGATAAGCCAGTCTCGTCTAATACCACAGATTTAATATAGTAGCATGTTTAATCATAAACCTGGTCTGCATTTCCATCTTCAGCAAGGACAACAATTGCCCGGGCTTTGGAGACAGAGACCTAAAAGAATTTGAAGTATTAGATCAACAAATAGAGAATTATTTGAAAAAAGAAAAACAAAATTGAACAGAGAGGCCATTATACAGAGCACACCCTTTTGGCATTAGAAAAATATAAACTACCAAATACGATTATATTCGGTTTACAATATACTACATTTAATGGATAAAGTTGTATCAAAGACAAGCCACCAATGTTATAGAGAAGCTGAGACACAAAATTAGAGCCAGGAAATGGAACTTGCTCTCCTTTTCAAACATTATCCAGAGGTAAATTACTTTGGCATGTGAACCATAAAACAAACCATACCTTTTTTAGGTCAGCCACGATCAGAGGGCTCCCACTTCTGCATATCACAGATGTCCCTCTGAAATCAAACTCCATCTTAGCAATGTCAAGCTCCATCTCCTCCTTGTCCCGTTCGGCCATCACCACAACAATTCCACCACCTAGACTCTCATTAGCTATTGCAAGCTGATTAAGTAGTGATCCCTGAGTGCAAGCAAAATAATCAGTGATCTAGGACCTTTATGTTCATTCATGTGCTCCACTGGAAAATGTAATTCTTTTTCAAAAACACCTAAGTCCATACAGGCACTAAGAATAAGTTTTGCTATTGATTACAGATCAATCAAACCCAGTTGCTGAGAGATAATAAACACAACTCCATTCCATATAATCTCTGTATATTCATTGTTTATGAAATATTAAACATGATATCAAACTGTGTTTCTTCAAAATTTCTTAGCCTTCATTTGTAAGGAATGAAACATAAAACCTACACTGTCAACAAGAAATTGGCAGATTCTCAAATCTGTCCTACTGCAAAGTAGCATAAATTCATATACAGGCAATAAATTCAAATCCACCATGGTTACATCAGAATGAACTCTGTAATGCCAATTGTGTAATGCAATCAATAAATTGCTAAAATAGATCCATTAGTGTAGTTCATTCCAACATCCAACTAATTACAAAGTAAACGGATCAATGCAACAGAAAACGTTTCAAACAAACAAAATATGGAGTCAGAACTTACCAATTTATCACTCCACCCAAGAATTAGAGTGTGGTTTTGCTCAACCACCTCACTTCTTCCTTTCCTCAATGAATCAAACTTCTCAGAAATCGCATCAGAAACAAGCCCCAGCATCATTGCAAATGTTAGCATCCCACCAAAGCTTATAGAAAGTGAAACCAACCTGGGACCTAAACCTTCAGAGTTGGCATGATTGCCTGAATCAGCAACATATGTCCAGGATAACCAAAGGCAATCTACTAAGCCATCATCATTGACACCAAATAGAGCCAAACCCCCAAGACAAATAAGCAGCAGAGTTGCAACCAGCAACGTTAAAGGTTTAGCATATGGATGAACTGATAAAAAAGCATCCACTCGATATGCAAGCTGCTTATTTAGAGAGACCACTTCTGAATTATTATCTAGTGATCTAGACTTAGAGACATAGTTGACATACTTAAAAATAACAAAAGGGATGGATAATAGTAGGACAGAGACAACCAGAGCTATATGTTTTAGGCCTTTGCTAGGAAGATGATCGCTCTCTTCTGCTATGGAATTAGTATCCACAGTTTCCCACAAATTGCAAGCTTTCAGTCTGATATTCAGCTTTGAAATCTGATCCTGCAAGTGGGAAATAATCCAAACTTTAGTAAGGTTTCATGTAGCAAGAAATAAGCCTTATTTGATAGAAAAAAGGGAAAGGGAAGAATCTGAACATACAAGCTCATACTGTAAAGTTGAAAGAAGTTAAAGATGTCAAAAGTGAATGCTAAAAGTCTAAAACTTTAAAGCACAAAAAGAAAAAGGTGGATCACTGAATCCCATAAAAAGAAACTTGTCGATTCAATCAAGTTCATAGACCAACTAAATCAACTGTTTTTCTAGCATATAGTATGATCAGCTTCAAAGGTTATATGTAAATACAGCTTAAACACTGAGTCTACCTGCAAGTCAATGACTTGATTATGTAAAGAGAAATTCTTGTGCACCAAAGAAGCAATGGCCATGATCATTATCTGCACGCCAGCCAAGTAGACAACCCAACACATAAAAACCAAAGCTCATTAGCTCAGTGTTGCTGTTTCCTTCTTATAATTCGAAAAAAGACCAGCTTTTCACGATTCTATAGGGAAGAAGAAAGATGATACCGCTACAAAAAAAGCCATCTGCCACCAAGCCTTCAGCCATTGACGTGAAAACCCGACACCCTGATTGAACACCGCCGTTTTCTCACCCACAACGGCAAGTTTCTCTGCAGAAAAGGCAATTCTCTCTTCCGCTTTCGGCGAAATCTCATTCCCAGCATCAAACTCGACTCTGCGGCGACGCCTGATATACGTGGAGGCTGTGTACAGGGTGGAATCGGAGGGCGAAACATTTCGAAACGTGGTCGTTCTGGGAGGTTGCCGATCTTTAGAGGAATGCTGCGAATGTCTAGGAATCGCGGAGAACCTTCGGCGGTATTTTGTGATATTCGCCCGGTAAGAAGAGGAATGGATGTAGGAAGGGGAAGGGAAAACCCAATCCCGGCCGGAGGACGGAGAAGGCTCCGGGTCCAGGGACATGGCCGGAATTATCGGAAATGTCTATAGGGGTTCGAATGTTGACTTTTTTTACACTGCCGGCTTTGTAATTACACTTGGGAATAATTAATTCTACGAAAAGCAGGCGCCTTTCGACAAAACGACAGCGGGTACAATTGAAAGGCTCTGAAACTGAGATCCCCACTTCTTCCTTCAAGAACCCCCTAGGGTTTTGCAGTCAAATCTCCAGTGTAGCGCCGCAGTTGGATAGGTTCCTCTTCGGCTCGGTTTGTTGTTCATATCCTTGTCTCTTTGAATTCAAATGGATGGAATTATTCTTGAACATCACAGTTTTGTACTCATTGATTTCTTTTGCTGATTTTCTTTAGCTACAATTGCAGGTGACTCTTGTAGCGTTTGCGTTTTTCACTTTTCCTGAGTCGACATGAACTTGAAGCTATTGATATTGAGGGAACAGTTAAACAAGGTATCAAGATTTAATGGAAGATTACATTCTGCAGGCCCAAGTCATTGCAAAAACTTTTCTACCATTACATCTCTGGTTTCTACTTCCAGTTACTCTCTGAGCAAGGATCATGGTTCTGTTCTGCAACTTATCTTTAAAACCCAGAAAATGGCTGGGTTATCTGGTAGATATTTTCATTCAACACGAGCTGTTAGGCTAAGTCAAGCCAGCATTGAGCCGGGTATTAAGCCCAATGATTTTGAGGGCGATGATGGAACCATGAATGAGTTCTTATCACGGTTTGTTTGGATAATGCGAGGGAAGCTGTCTGGAGTGTACTCAAAATGTGATAAGGAGACAATTAATGGGATGCTTTCCATTATTGTTGCTAATGTTGTGGATGAGATGGAAAAGGGTGGGATTGAGAAGAAGCTTGGTACTGCAGTGGCTGCACCGTCGCAGGATTTTAGTCAAGATTTATGGGGAACGGTGTGGGAAGTGAGTAATATGGTGTTGCAGGATATGGAGAAGGCGAGGAAGAAGGAAAAGATGAAGAAGTTTTTGCAGTCTGAAGAAGTAAAGGAAATGTACCGATTTGCTAGTGAAGCTGGTATTCGTGGAGATTTGTTGAGGGAGCTGAGGTTCAAATGGGCTCTAGAGAAAATGGAGGAAACTGAGTTTTATGTGAGTTTGGAACGCCTTAGGGAAGAAGAGCAGGACAGAGAGAAAGAAGAAGGCAAGGCAATGCATCTAGAGGTTAGTGCCGAAGGGGCTGAGGATAAACCTGATGTTGCATCTATACTAAAGAGAAAAGGAAAGATCAGGTATAAGATTTATGGACTTGATTTATCAGATCCTAAGTGGGCTGAGGTGGCTGATAAACTCCATGACGCAGAGGAAATTATTGTGCCACAGGAGCCGAAGCCAATATCTGGTAAATCTAAACTTGTTATGGAGAAAATCCTTTTATTGAGAGAGGAAGATGACCCTTCTCCACTACTAGCTGAATGGATCGAGCTTCTGCAACCTAGTCGTGCAGATTGGATCACTTTGCTTGATAGATTGGAACAAAAAAATGCTGGTCTATACTTAAAGGTAAGGGTTAAAAGTTAGTCTCATATTTGGCACAATCTGGCATGATGAAGTTTTAGTGAGATCATCACATGTTTCTGAACCATGAATCATGATAGATCTATAGATATATGTAAGCCGATGCTCAGAAACATTTCTTCCTGGAATCCTAACATATTTCTCTTCTAGTCTTTCAGTCTTTCTTAACACCCTTTATTGTCATTTGTATTTGTATGCATATTTCTATCATTACAACAGCAGCAAATGTGCAAACATGAGTTTTGCATAAAATGTTTTTAAATATGCAGCCACTAATATTGAGCATGCTATCATGATGTTTAATGTTTATAGGTTGCAGAAAGTTTGTTGGATGAAAAATCTTTCCAAGCAAACATTCGTGACTACACAAAGCTTATTGATGCTCGTGCTAAAAAGAACCACATAGAGGATGCTGAGAGAGTCCTAAAGAAAATGGGTGAAAATGGTATCTTTCCTGATATTTTAACTTCAACACTTCTTGTTCACATGTATAGCAAGGCTGGCAATCTTGATCGTGCTAAAGAAGCATTTGAAAGCTTGAGAAGCTTTGGATTCCATCCAGATCAGAAGGTCTACAACTCAATGATCTTGGCCTATGTCAATGCTGTCCAACCTAAATTGGGTGAGTCATTAATGAGGGAGATGGAAGCAAGAGACATCAAACCTTCAGAGGAGATTTACTTGGCATTGCTTAGGTCTTTTGCCCAAAGCGGTGATGTTGGTGGAGCTGGACGAATTGCAACCACCATGCAGTTTTCAGGGTTCCAGCCAACTTTAGAGTCTTTCACACTGCTTGTTGAGACATATGCGCAAGCTGGTGACCCTGATCAAGCTAGACACAATTTTGACCACATGATAAAACTTGGGTTCAAACCCAATGATAGGTGCACTGCTAGCATGATTGCAGCATACGAAAGGAAAAATTTATTGGATAAGGCTTTGAATCTTCTGCTGCAACTGGAGAAGGATGGGTTTGTGCCTGGGGCTGCTACTTATGCTGTCCTTGTGGATTGGTTTGGTAAGATGCAGTTGGTTGACGAGGCAGAGCAGCTGTTGGGCAAGATTGCTGAGCAGGGTGAGGTTCCTCCTTTCAAGATTCATGTGAGCCTCTGTGACATGTACTCAAGGGCTGGAGTTGAGAAGAAAGCTCTTCAGGCTCTTGGAGTTCTTGAAGCGAAGAAGGAGGAATTGGGGGCCCAGGACTTTGAGAGGATTGTAAATGCCCTCATAGCAGGTGGGTTTATGCAGGAAGCTAAAAGGCTACATGGTATAATGGAGGCTCAGGGCTTTGCTGCATCAGATCAACTGAAGGTAGCCTTAATGGCATCTCAAACTTTCACCCGGAAAAGACCAACAATGAGATAAAGATAAACTGCATGGATTTTTGGCTGCAATGGAACATCAATGGATTTTTGTCTGTATGAAGGTGTTTGTGTTCAGACAGGGGAAGGTCTTAAGCAGTTGTTTTGATAGATCTGTTTGCTTTATTCTAAACTTCCATTTAAAATCATCAATCTGTTCATAAGATTGAAAATTTTTAATTGAAGCGTTAACTTAGCAGTTGCTACAACGATTATTCTGTCTACTTGTGAGATGTGATTTTTTAGGGTGCCTATTTGCTTTATGGTGGACAATGGACATAGCTGTTTAATCAATTGAATCTCAATTCCGTTTCAGGGATGTTGATAAAAAAAATGTTTCATTCTATTTCTCAGAAAAACTTAGATATCACTGACAAAGAGAAATCTAGAATTCAAACATGGTAGGAGAAGTGTAAGAGAATGCCTTTTGTTACAAAAAGATTATGAACTTAGACGTGGGATGACAAGAAATGGGAACTAAGCACAGCTCACCTTCTGGCTACATTTCTGATGTTAGATATTATCCAGCAGCATCAAAGTAAAGGACCTGCAACAATTAATATGATATTTAATGATACATTGATGCATCTAGATAATGAAATTAACAAATATTTGATCAATCATAAAGTCTAAACAATCCATGTATAATAATCTAAAACCACAAAGCATGAAAGAATAGGAAATTAATTGTCAATGGGCAATTATATCAAACATTAAGCACTTAGAAGAAAAATGAAACAACTTTGGAAAGTTAGTATTGTTTGGGTAACTTCACGAGATATAGCACTGCTGAGTTCTTGAATTGTTTTGGTGCCTGAAAATCGGGAGGAAATGTCATCAGAAAAAACTCTTCAATACTCAACTTAGTAATGATCACTTTATTCTAGAGTGAAAAAGAATAGTAAAGAGAATCATAGTGGCATCTCACCTTAGTAGAGGCCCAACGACATTAGCTATTGATCAGGTGCACTCTTCTCTTTTTTTGGACGAGTTTCAAATCCATCACTTGTCAAAATGTTTAAAATAAATAAATAAATAAAATCGTAATAAAATTATTGTTTTTTATGAAAGTAGGAGAAAGTTATTTATAATTTTCATTTATGATGCTATTGTCATATATCACTACTTAATTGGCTCACGTGATCATTAATTATGTGTGTGAGTTTTCATTACTTATATTGGCTTTTGAGCTCTTATTGAGTTTTTAGTCAATGTTGAGCTAACTCTTTAATAAAATAATAGATATAGAAATAAGAATGAAAATTATAAGGAAGAACGAAGAATCCGTGAGAAGGAGAAGAAAAACTAAGGAGAGGAGAGAAAAGGGTCTACTCCTTTTATTGATCAATAAAAAAAGAAAAAAAAAAAGAAAAAAGAAAAAAGAAACCGTTTGTTACAAAGCAGTCCCCTTATATCATGGGGCAATTGGAGAGTAATCCAGGTTATGGTAAAGCCAATTATCCCCTAATCCTAGCTTAACTAACTGTAACAAATCTCAAGGTAACTCTCCTCTCTCCTTAATTCTTTTTTGCCCATCTTAAGTAACTCAAAATCTCTAATTCGATTTCCAAGTTCTTAATCACTTACATGTTTGGATAAAAATTAGTAAAGTAAATGAATGGGAGGGGAGGGGAAGGGAAAAAAGGGGAGGAGAAGAGAAGTGAAGGAAAAGAAAATGTTGATGTGAATTTTGTTTGGAGAAATAAAAGTGAAAAAGAGAAAAGGATAATAATTTTATTTAATTAAATAATTTAATGAAAAATAAAATAAAAAAAACATAAAATTTTTAAAATTTATTAATTAAATAAATAATT